GCGGGCCCTATTACATTCTGGCCTAAAACTTGAGTTGAGGAGCTTACAAAAAAGTGTTAACCTCCCAAATTTTCACAGAACACGATAGGAATCAACACCAATTAGTTTTTGCTAATCACCACCTCTACTCTCAATCTCTTATATATTATTACCAGTTTATCACCTATTTCTCATCTCTGTGTCAACAATTTAACTCAACCAGGCCTAAGCCTAAGAGGAAAACGACCACAAACTGGACTCTCCATATGTGGTAACAGTGGAATCATTTGGGTCTATTGGACCAGGGCCCATGAGTAGTGGCTCATATTCACCCAGCAAACTAGATTGGTAGGATCACTTCGTGCCTGATGTTTTTCACTTTTCGCTGTCGACTGAGGTAGCTTTATAAGGATGAAACTAGGGCCCAGGCCTGGGCTGAAAAGGGCCACAAAAAGAACCCACATTCCCAAGGTTAAAAGCCTTCAATCTCAAGTTTGTTAGTAACTTGAAGATGTGAAATCAAGAGAGTTGTGAATTGCGGTATCATCTAATTGTTCTCCAAAGTCCCAACCCACATGCCGTGTGAGATGGGCTTAAACTTTAGCTTTTGGGGGGTTGTGGGAGAGAAGCCCAATAGGGAAGCCTGAACTCGCATATATTTCTCAACTGGCTCAAATAATAGAAGATGTCAGAATAAATTAAAAGATGGCTCCACCTCCACTGCCAAAAAGTAGGCAAGTGATAATGTGCAACCAAACAAGGCTATGTTGGGTGCAGGCCCCGCATAGCATAGTAAAGGGAAGGGAGGGTGGCTTTTAAGTTTTAATTTTCCCTCCTCCAGGCTCCAGCCTTATTGAACTTGGTTAAAGTCCAAATGGAGGAGGAAGTAGGAGTGTAGGGCAACATTTGTAGAAAGATATATCTTTTTGCTTAAAGGCTCTGGGAATAAAGGACGGAAACTTTAAAAGCAATTGTAGAGTATTCATCAGTTCATAATAGAACATCCAGAAGGCTGAATCAAGGCCTCCTCCTTTTTCCCTTTAAAAAACTCAGTTGAAAAAGAAAAAAAATTAAAGAAGAGATGTGGGGGCTGTGATGGGACCTCCCAACAATTGCATTTTCATCCTTGCATGCTGTGGTTTAAGTACTAGCTTTACAAAACACTGTCTCTCATTTCCTGGGTTCAGAGTTGAAATTTGGTTGGTATAAAATGCTTTCTACTGTCAGGTCTTGATACTACTGTTTTCCTCTTTATTTGTTTTACAAATGCTCTGTTTGATTCCTTGAGAAGGTAATAATGGGAGCGAGAAAGTGATTTAAGAAACATGTTTTTTGGTTTCCCACTGTAATGGAATGCTACTTCTGAGTGGTCACTGCTCAGAGCAACCAAGATATAGAAAATCAGAGTTGTCAAGAAAATTGACAGAGTCATTGGAGTTTCTTAGCGCAAGAGTAAGAGGTGACATAAAAAATCCCACTCTCCACGGCCTGATCAAAGATCATTCCTCTCTGAAGAGTGAAGAGTCTTCAATTCACATCACTTTGATGTATGTTAGAGCCTGGAGGAAATGATGAACAGGACCCTGACCATTGACTCGTTGAGAAACATAACACATTTATTCATTTAATTTGCTCCCCGTAGCAAAGGCATCTGGGTCACGTGGCCATACACGTGAAGAGTTGGGGCATCTCCCGACCAATGGCCACTGGGCTGTGGCCCATTATATGTAGAGTATTGCAAAGAAAACGACCATCAGCCGTGGCACGACCCTTTATCCAGGGACCAACGTCTTATCGATACACACGTGTATAAAACCTGTTGTGCATATCACCAGCAGAGACACGTGTGCTACAGGACCATTCCCAATAGAATGCATATGTAGTTCTGATGCGACAGAGGCAGAGTTTCTTTTTAATCCATGCTATTATTGTTTCTAATCAAACACATATATAAATTATGGAGTGAGCAAGCAAAGGTCTTGGTGCTCACATGATGGGTTTAATTAGTTGCATGAATTATGGATATTTATTAACTTTATATTTTCTTGGGTCTGGTTTGGTGGGAGCAAGAGGGATTCAAGTGAGTAAGGCCGTATCTTAATGATCTTGTAAACCCATTTTTTTTTTTTTTTATAAAAAAGATTGAACAAACAGCTCCTTTTGCATAAAATAGGAGAGAGGCCAAATGAGATGGAGAGAGAGAGTAGCGTTGTTAATGCTTTATAGTGAGGATGAGTTGGTTGGGCAGAGGGGGGGGGGTGTCTTTTTTCTCACCAATAATTGGGCCTTACTAGACATAGTTTATTTGAGTTTAAGGCACCAATCATGAGTTGAATCTAGTGGACTCCATCTTTCCACGTCTGAAAGAGCCGAGGTTGTGAAAGGCTTGGAGGCATGTTAATGCCCCCATTCACAATCCATGTGTGTTCTTCACATCAAACAATTAAGTGGAATCCAACTCCTCATCAACCACAGATTCCCTTTACCTAGCTAGTGGGATTTCCCTTTCATGACCTAACCAAAAAGGATATCCCCCTTAGTTCCCTAAACAACTCATCCCCCCAAAAATAATAATAATCAAATTTTTATTATATTAAAAAAAATAAACAAACCTGAAACCCCTAGAGAACACAGTTGAGACTCCATTCATCTCTATAGTGTGGGTCTTCCCCAAATCTTTAAGCGTCCAATGGTGCAGGTCCATTGTTCACTTTGTGAGAAATAGTTAAGTAATAATATATTTATATATATATAGATAGATAGATACATCCATCTCTTGCATGTGGAGATTGCGAGGATCAGCTATCATCCAATGAGTTGGTCCTTAGCTATCTCTCTCTCTTACTTCTAATTAAAGCATGCACGGATGGCCTATAAACATTATTTCTAGCTTGTCTAGTCCGTAAAATATCCAAGTAATTATTAAACATAGACTGATAGAAATGGTGTTAACTGCCAGCTCATTTCATTTTTATTCTCTTTTTCTTAGAGGATCGCTACGTACCTAGCTACACCTGTGGCCTCAAATCTGTCTGAGGAAGAGGGAGAAGATGGGCGGTATGTGTGGAAGGAGGAAGCACAAAGATGAGGATACGACTAACATAACTTTGATCTCTTTCGTTCATTTCCTTTTATTTTATCTGGACATATATAAGATTTTTGGGGCTAAGGCCGTCCCCTAGCTACCTAGCTACACCTGCTATATTAAGTATAGAACCCAACAAATTAAAAGACCCTCACCCTCACCCTACAGTCGCTACAAACAATATAATTAAAATAAAGCTGGACACCTTGGAAGATGAAACTATGGAAATCCCAGCTAGCTAGGTTGATGGGATGCAAATTAAGACCCAATCACCAAATGATAACTTTTTAAGCTTCCAAGAAAGTTACGATTTTTGTCATTGATTTGTGTTATGGTCAGGTTGTTAAATTTAGGAAAATTAATTAAAACATAGCCTTTCTTTATTCTTTGCAATCAGACTAGCTAATAGTTGCATCAATTATTGCCTTCTACTAATTAACTCCTTATACTACTACTTCTTAGAGGGGTTGATAAACTAACTTGATATGATGTGAGGGGTTAAATGCGAAAAAAAAAAAACAAGAAAAGGAAAAAAAAAATGTAGTCTATGCATGATTGAAGAAGAAGGAAAGTTAATGGGTTTTGGAATTTATAATTTTGATCGAGAAAGAAACCCCAGAGTCCCTGATGATGGATAAAGAAGCAGCATTAAGGAGGAGAATTTGTCGCGAAATAGTGCATCGATTACCACTCAAACACAAGCTCTACTTGAGGCCGCTCATACCTCAAGATTCAACATATGAAGCGCTACAAACAAAAAGAATAAAACAGGACGTTTCAACTTTGGTGCACTGTGGTACATGCACTAATTAGTTTGTATGCATACGGTTTGTAGTTTCTGCACAAAATTATTTGGAAACAGTACCTTACAAATTGGGAACAAAGTCCATCTGTCATCGATCTGGGTATTTATTAATCCATATATGATCTGGCACCTATTTCAAGATTCCTAATATCTTCATGGTTTTCAAAAGATTCTCCTTCCTTATAATAATTTTCCCAGATTCTCTTTAACTAATATGCCCCAGAATTTTTTTGCATCATCACTCCCACAGACATACACAGAAAGTAATAGAGCAGGCTAAGGACAAAGACCACCCAATTCTGTTTTTCCTTTTCTTTTGAAAGCACAAATGCCAAATTGAATGTGTGTGAAGAATCAAGTTAGGGATTAATAAGGAATCTGAATTTAAAAATAAAGGGAACTAAATGAAAGGGCCTGAGGATGGCAATAATAAGGTGGTGGAGGACGAATTCTGGCCAACTCACTCAATAAATTCCATTAATTGGAACATAATTAAGTAGCTAACTAAATTGTAGCAAGGGAAAACTCAGTCTTCAATCTTCAATTCAATATATACTCAAATCAGGAACAATAGAATGCGTAGACTTCTGACGGGGTCTGAGTCAATAATTGTGTCGTGGATCATCATGACCTCCATTCCTGCAGGTAACGTATTTTATGGTGGTACATTTAAGCTGCTAACAAAATAGCAGTTAAAAGTCTCCTTCAACCTAAATGGAAACATATATATATATATATATATACATGAACCTATGTACGTTTTCTGTAGTTTAGTACTAGATTGTGTGTATGTGTATGGGCCTGGGCTTTGATTCAATTGGCCACTTTCTTTTCTCTGTCTGTGTGTATTTCAACTACGAACAGGAACAGGAACAGAAGCGTGATCGTTAAGGGTGGTGAATACATTCAGATTTCAGATTCAAGTCACGGGTTGCGATCGTACCTTTTATTTCTCTCTCTCTCTCTCTTCTAGGAGGTTGGGATCGTACCTTGCCCATCACCAAAACAAATAAAAAGAAAATACGTGTTTACTAGTTGACTTCAATTTTCAACATTCAAACCTTCTTCCAAGTTGCACCGTCAGAACATTCCACAAACAAACAGAAAGAGATATAAAATCATGGATTTGGACAATTTGCAAGATTATATGTATTTATTTGTTTCACTTTCTGGCTTGTACATACAAGCTAGTTACAAAGAGGTGCAAGGCTTCCATTTGAAGCCAAAGAGAGAGAGGTAAAAAAAAAAGGCCTCTTTCTTTTTCTTTCATTTCTATTTTCTAAAAGGAAAAGCAAAATACATACATATATTATGAATTTACCCTCCCACCCTTTATCATTTCTTTTTTCTGGGGGTGGAGGGGGTTGGTTATGTGACTCTGTTGTAAAATTTACACCCTCGACTGCCCACGTAGTGATCTTTCCCATTCCACCAGGCGGTGTAAAAATAGCATCACCTGATTAAAAAAAAACAAACAGAAGCAACCCCCAAAGAACAAATTAGTATAAAATGAAATGATACAAATTTATAAAAGCATGGTTGGCTAAGTTCTTAATTATTACCTCGGCTGGTTCTTGAAGAGAATAAGAAGCGTTTGTTTTTTTCGGAATTTTAGACACAAGGATTCCAAAACCTAGTCCTTTCTCTCGCAAAACCTAATCATCACAAGTACAAAAACTGATGCATTAGTTGTGTTGGCATTAACCATGAATAACTATATAGATCATCAATAGCAAGGAAAATGAATATAACCATTACTAAGAAACAAATAAATAAATATGGGTTTTTACCCAATTTTTTTTTTTTTTTTTTTTTAAAGACTCAGAGCATTGGATACCTTAAATGCATCTTCGTCTGTTTGATCATCTCCTATATATACTGGCAAAACATCTTTAGAATTGGCGAACCCTAGAAGATAGAAGACAGAATAATCAAACCAATAAGTATATAATTAATCAAGGTCACAACTAAAGGAAGGCTATGAATTGAAGGGTCGCAATAATTTAATATTATATATATATATATGACTTGTGATGGAATGTGTCTTTGTGGTGACAAAATTAAAACTTACCAAGTGACTCCAGCAGAAATTCCAGAGCCCTCCCTTTGTCCCATGCAATAATAGGACGGATCTCAAGTACCTGTGTTGTTGTGCAACAAAAAACAATAACATAAACATAGTCAGTCAGAACTCAGAACAGACATTTCTAACTCATGCCCTTCATATACTGTGTCACAGACTGAAGTCTGTCGTGTATGAGAGAGAGAGAGAGAGAGCAATTAATGGATGCCACGTCTTGCTTACCATCCTCCCTTGAGTCACTCGAAGCTTTGGGTACTCCTTCATCACTGATCTAACCTGCTCCGCTAGTGCACCCCATTTCTGAAATCCATGCATCTGGTCAAACTAAATATCTTTGAAAGGCATCTATTCAACTTAATTATACATATACAAATGTTGTGGGTTTGAAATGAATAAAGAACTCGACAATGGCTGGCTTGGATTCGTACCTTTTCTTCAACACAGCGGAAGTGTACAGACACACAGAACTTGTTATGCTCCACATTGGCTCCTCGGATGCATCTGGTTTTCTCCACCAGTGCTTTATACACCTGAAGGTTTTGGCGAAAACCCCACAAAAAAAATGTGAAAAGAAAAGCTTTTAGTACATTATTCTTTTCTATCTAACTCGGTGCTTTCAATCTTTTGATGGAGAGATTATTAGAGAAAACCAACCTCATCGATCATGGGTAAGAATTCACTTGCAGGTTGAAACAGAACTGGCTGATTTACCTGAAAATCCTTGGTTGTTAGAAATGAAAAAGTATAGAAACAAACAAACAAACAGTGATGAAGGATTTTTTTCATTGCAGTGCTGCTCACTTTGCTGCAAATGACACCTTCGGCTGGTCCTTTAATGTCCATTCCATGGCTACCTGCGTAGTACAGCTCTGCTAAACGTACAAAGCTGTATACCTGCAAATTAAAGACAAGAACACCATGTATTTAAGTTCCAAGTATACTCGGAAGGAAAAAACTCGACCAGTCATTAGAGGTGGAGGAAATTAGAATAAAGAGACTCAAAATTTAGAGATTTTAAAGAAAATGATGATTGTACAGTACCTTGTCTCTGCACCTTCCACTCACTATGGCAGTGGGGAAGCATCTAGCCACGGCTTTTACAGCTCTCCTCATCTGTATAACCAGAATAGAGAAAATACAGATTCAGTAACAAAAAGGAGTTGGGGAAAAAGGAAACTCGAGCTAAAGATATAAGCAAGAACTTTGTAGAATAAACAAAATACAGAACAGAAATTAATAACGAACCGACTCAGACATGAAAGCTTCATCTGGGTTGTCTACGATCGGCGAGAGTGTGCCATCGTAGTCGAGAAACATGACGATTTGCTTCCCTTTCGAAGCAGCCATGATCTGCTCGAACATGTTCAAAGCCGATGGGTGACTAAGCTGTTTCAACAGAGATACAGAATCGGTCATTGTGTCAGAGAAAAAGAGAAAAAGTGCCAAATGCCTCAAAGTTTTTAAGAGACACTGGTAATACTTACAATCCACGATTCTATTTGATCAACATTTGGAGACAGTGAAGGTGTCGACTTGGCATGGGTAGGAGATGAAACTTTCATGGAATCAACCCAGGGATTTACTTTGGCACCTCCCCCTGTTTCAAGCTTTTTCAGAAACTTCTTCCGAGAAATGCCGATATAACCACCTGGTGCCGCCGGTGGCTTCTGTCCAGCTGACGGAAACAATGACGCGTTTGGAACGACTGTGATCATATCATTAATCCCGGACTTGACATCAGGAACGACCACATTCTGCTTCGTCATTTTCTTGTGTTCAATCAAATGCACTACAAAAATGACCCAAAACTACTCAGATACTCAAAACCAGATTGAAATTGTTCGTTCCATGTAAAAACATCCAAAATTCAAACCCCTGATAAGGGTGAAAGTTGAAACCCATTAAAGGGATTATATCTTTAAACATCCAAATACCTGAACGTCTAGCTAGCAATATCCAAGACTTTTGCAAATTAGAAACTCAAGCCTGAGAGCAGGAAGAATTGGAGAAGCAGCAGAGACAAAGAAAGGTCTGCAGCTTCTCGGGGTGAGTGTGAGGTTAGAAAACCAGCTCAATAGGCAATCGGTAAGAGAAAAACCACAGGCAGAGAGAGAGAGAGAGGGGGGCTAAAAAGACGATTGAGCAACGGAGAGAGTTGATGTCGAGGAGGAGTGAGGAACAGAGCCTGCGTCTAGTCAATTTATAGTTGCTTGCGAGACACTAACCGACAAAACCCCTCTCTTCCGGATCTATAGACACTTGAGCGTGGCCTCCACAACCAGCCCGGGGGCGGGGGGGGCCCACAAAAGAAATTGGAGTCTTGCGCCGTCTTCGCCGTCACTATAACAGCATCGTCTATGTGAACTGGCAAATGTTCCACGTGGACCGAGTAACCGGGTCGAGTTAGATCACGTGGATCGAACACCTGGCTCTACGGCTTATACACCACTCGCACCCACGGATTTGGGAGTCATTCCAAAAAACAGGTTTCATAAAGAGATGTCAACTCCGAAACCCCCCAAGTAGTCATTACTCATTACTCATTTGGTAATCTACTAATCTAGTATAGGGAAACCCCAAAAATAAAAGAGAAGCTGTGAACAGGATTGCTGAAAACTCCAGTCTCAACTCTCAATTCTCTCTCCGAGTGGTGGGCACTGGGCAATGCTGCAACGCCCGTTGTTAGGAATAAACAAGCAGCTCCAACCTACAACCTAACTAGTAATAACAAAACCAGCAGCTGCTCTGCTTAGTCTTCTACTTTGATTTAAAAAAAAAAAAAAAAATCTTCGTCAGTAATAAAGCTAAAATTGATGGGTAGTAAAAAAAGAGTAAATAGTAAAAGGACAATAATAAAGGGAATAAAGAGTTAATTTAAACATTTTCTTTTAATTAGGCCACTCTGAGCTGAAAACCCACTCTCAATTAATACAACATTTACACATGCTGCAGCTTAACAGGCCAAAAAAGCCTTAGCACTTTACATCATACTCATTTACTCAATCATGTGATACCACCAAACGATTACCCCAGGCTCTTATCTACGACACGACACTGTCTAATAAAGATAATAGGATCAGTATAAGGCCTCTTAATTACTTGTTAGTAAAATTTTCTTTCAATAGTTTAATATTTGACTCCCCCCCCCCCACACCACACAAAAAAAAAAAAAAGTATTAAACAATGATCAGTTGATCACAGATAAAGCCTCTGCGCCGGATTTCCTTACCATGAATTTCAGTATATATATTTTTCAGAACCCCGGCTTTCAATAATTTAATAATAATAATAATTAGGAATAATCTTTTGATATGATGCATGGTTCATCCTATCTTCATTTGGTGATCATTCCTCTCTAATCAAATTAAGTTGGCAGTCCAAGAACCCCGCATCCAACTTTAGGTAAATTTAGTAGTTTGCAAAATGAGCTTTGGTCCATCTAATGGGATTGGGCATTGAATTAATATACTGTGTTTAACTTATATGAAATATTAATTGGGTATTGAGGGAAAGTTTTTCTTCTCTACAGTTGATAGATGTTGAGTGAAACAAGATCAAGAAGATTGGAGTAAGTGGTTAATTAATGTGTAGAATCCACATTTTGGATCTATATACATATATAATAGGGCCAGGCCCAGTAAGTTTGAAAATTTGAGATGGACAAAATCTGTTCAAGACAAGATAAGGAAAGATTTGACATTTTCCACCCTATGGTTCTTGACTCCAAGAGCACGCAAGTACACCTTTGCAAGGCCATAAATGTATGGTTAAGGTGCAAATTAAGGAAGACCGAAGAAGGTTCTTAGCTTTTTCTAAATCTTCTTCTTTCTTTATTTTGTTTTTTCCTCTTTTAATTAATGCCCACAGATAGAACCATAAACAGCATAATGTACACCTTCAAGTTAGTTGGTAATCGTGCATTCTTCAAGGTGTTATGACTTATACAATAGTTTTCTTTTTCCAAGTCACATTGCATTTTAATCAACTTGAGTGAACGAAATGAAAATTAGAATTAATTACCTTCACAAGTTTCCTTGCCTGACGACAAGAAAGTTTACAATTGTTATGGTTCTGGTGCAGAGAAAGACAACAACGTTCTTCTAGTTTGTGTTTTTTTTTTTTTTTTCTTTTGTTTTCCCTTATGGTTGAACTTTTCAACACCCACAGTCCACAGATATATAAAACAGTGTAATGTCCTGATTTATACAATACTTGTCCAAGCCAAGATGCCTTTGGTTGGTGAAGTCTGGTATAAGCAAAATGCTAGTCAGAGTCTATATTTGAAATTGCAAAAATCTAGATGATTTTTGAATTAGTTCACCTTCTGTCTATACTTTCAGATGTTTTTAACCAAAACCATAACGTATGTGAGGTACAAAGATACAGTTTTTCCTTCCTATTTATCCATTTTTCCTTTCAATTTGAAGTGAACATGAGGTACAAAGATAGAGTTTGCCATGATATTAATTACTTAAAGTGGTAAACCTAAGGGATGTTTGGTTGGAATGATCAATTTACTGGTTCTCTTAAAATATAGAAACATAAAACAATTTTCAGATAGAGATTCTTATCCAAAAGACCAGAAATGCATTCATGAATTTCTTTTTTCTTTTTTTCATCTTCTCATGTTCATTTTTTGTTTAACCCAAGTCCTCACAAATATGATTGGTATATATGATCTGTACAAGTGTTAAGGTAAATCAAATGGTAGGTCAGATGACTTCAACCTTCGAGAAATGAAAAAATCTTTTTCTCCGGAAACATCTTTTGTTGGGTTCAGGAATAAGATAAATTATACGCTAAACAAGCTAAAATATTTTCAATTTGTTAATTATGAGAAACATATGTCCAAGAACGTGGTTTTGTTTTTGTCTTTTTGTTATACCGGTGTGGCATTTTTGTGGGAGAATGAGCATTGTTGTTGCTACTATTTGAACGTTATTATTCAGATATTTTTTGTCCTTTTTGGCATCTAGAATTGCAGTCAGTCAAATGTATTTCTCAGATGTTCATAAAAATATTCAGAAAAAAAAAAAAAAAATGAACACAGATTTTGCAAATTGGCTTCCTAGATGAACCCGAATTTCTCACACCAATCACACAGCAGCACCTTCAGAGATGCATTGGGAAATGAGTCGCACCAATTATAGATTGCATAAATTTAAGAGGAGATCAGATTTTCTCCTCACAGCACTTTGCAGGCAATGAACTTTCTTACACTATATTCATTCCATGAGTGTTTTATAGTGAATATGAGAGAGAGAGAGAGAGGTGTTTCTTATATATGTCCATGTACTAAAATTTTGATTTAAATGAAAAATGATTAGTAGAAAAATTGTTAACAGATGGAATAATTAATAATAAGGAATCGGTGAGAAATTGGGTGTAGAAAAAAGCTTTTTTTTTTTTTTTTATTAAGGGGATGCTTTAAAACTCTTGATATTTCAATTTCATTTCAAACTTTGCAAGAAAACTGTTAAAATTTTATAATTTGGATCATAACCAGGTTGAAACTTTGTGCATGATAAAGGAAATAGACATGACAGATGGAAGGAACGCATGAACGGGGCCATCTGACATGATATTGCCCTAATTAAATGAATAAAAATCCCATCTGGATTGGATCTGGTCAGAATTTAGATTTCCGATAAAGGATTTTAAAGAAGAAGATCCACTTAAAATTTAGTAGGAATTAATTAATAGAAAAATATTCTGTCCAATCCCAATTAACTGTTCATTGCTAGGTTTTCATATACGAAACAAAGAATCGAATCTTGTAGAACCTCGCTGCGGGTGAGGTAATTAGGTCAGGGTCCTAGGGAGGGAGCAGGAGCAGCTATTATCAAGGGATCAGCTATATATTAATTAAATTCGTAATTGGCAGCAGGGAGAAGTAGGATCAAGTGATGTGTTCTCTCTCAACACACAGAGAGTAGCATTTGGCCATTTGCAACGTAACAGTGGCAGAAGTGGAGACTAGAGAGGTGTTTTGTCTTTTTGGGGGGTGTAGTCTGTAGTGGTGCTTGGTGACATTCTTGTTGCTTTGCTTTTCTCTCTGGTATACGTGGCAACGTGTCCTTGATTCTCGTTCCGTGCTGACTGCTGAAAGAGTAAAACGCTGCAGACCAACCATCTGGCTTAGTCCGTATCCTCCATTACCATTTCTTATTAAAACTTCATTATTAAAAGTAAGAAAAAGAAACACATTCTCCAAGAACACTTGTTGGTCTTTCCACCCTCGTTGTCAGTCAGCCTAAGGATGGTCAGAGAGAAGATGGTAAGTCTGGTTGGAGCGACAGGACAATTCGTCTTTTGGTTCATGGTTCTCTTCTCTGCACCTACCCATGTAGCGGTAGCCGGTAGCCATACATGGAAAGATTTTTATTCTTCTTATTTTTCTTCCTCTTCTATTTCCTCTCTCTCTCGTCTCTCCCATCCATCTCCGGCCTCCGGTCAGACCAGAATGTTCTGTTACGCCAGAAATGAAAATTACCGTTTTTTCAAAAAAAGAAAAAAGAAAAAAAAGTTGGTCAGAGAGGAATACATTCACGTTAGCTTTAGCCTTTAGGTAAGAAAAATAAGCCAAGAATTCGGCTTTGTTTCTTTTGTTTAGGAGTTCATTCGCATAACTGCAAATTAAATGAGGACGCCCACAAGATTGATTATATGGTCTAAACGACACTGTCTGCTAATTTAGAACGTGAAGGAAAAAGACTTCAACAAGGTAATATAAGAGAGAAAGAGACAAACAGACACCGAGAGAGAGAGAGAGAGAATAATCTTACTACCAACCAACCCGGCACCATTAAAGACTATACTAGTTGAAATGCTAAAATTATTCTGTCATTGATTCTTGTGATACTTTTGAGTCCTTAAAGAAAGCATGAGATTCGTTCATGGTCCTCACATTCTCAATTCCCTCACATGCTTCAAGGATTTTAGTATTTCTCTGTCTGCGTTGGATCTATCTCCCCCTCTTCTTTTCTATCTTTGTTGGAGTGGTTTGGTTTAATGGTCAAAACTGGATGCCTGGGAGATGCTCCAAAATATTGACAGGTTTTGGTTCCAAGAGAACAGAATGAGAAAAAGACCAAAACCCATACCTAAACACAACACAACCGTGGAAGAACCTCTCTTTCTTTCTTACAAAGTAACCCCATTTTCGTC